TTCTTCACAGTCGCCCGTAACCAAATCCCGTCCCGCTTAGTGCTGCGGTTAGCCACGACACTAACCACTTCCAAGTCTGAAGGTCGCATGCCTTTGATCTCTCAGTCTAGTGCAGCGCTTTATTAACTTTTAACTTTGTTTTCAACTCCAGTTAGGGCCTGAGCCAGTGGAAGAGTGGAAGCTGTCACTGATACTGAGGGCAGATATAATGCTATTTAAATGCTAATGTGTTAAGAGGAGCAAAACGACCTTTACTCACACTGTGCACGCGGGCGGGGTGGCAGCACAGAACAGAAGGCCTTAATAAATGAGCGTCTTCCTCTGAATCTGTTTCCTGTCTGTGTACACCTAATGTCAGGTAGAAGGTGTGTTTATCACAGCTGAGCCCTGGAGCCTGTGACAGCATTATAGACATGTGTATTATGTCAAGGGGGGAAACAGATATTGGATGATTGTGGAGGGTGTGTGCGTTAAGTTGAACGATCATTTCCTTTTTCTGAGTTGATCTCTAATAAGTTAGCATGTCTGGAGTAACAGCAAAGGTCTCCGTTTTCTCAAATATCAGCTTTTCTTAATTTTTCTCATGTGCACAGTCAGTGTCGTTATTATCATCACATCAACACTAAAAGCCCAGTAGCTTAATGGTTGTACCCCAAACACTATTTCCACTGCACTTCTGGATTCAGCTTCCATCCTAGCAGTGCTTCTAAGCAGTTGGCACCCTTGCCAGGAAGCCAATAATGTGATGGCAGGTGCTGGTATCAGTGTATAAACAACAAGCCCTCTCCCTGTCCACAGATGTCACTGATACTTGTCTCCCTGTTTGCAAAGTACTTGCCAGAAGGATGTGCACTCACTGAGAGAGCTGTCTGCCTCACTCAGGGTGCTTTGGCTAAAAATTAAGTCAACTTTCAAATGTTTCTGATCACAAATCTATTTTTTTCTGTCTTTTTTTGTAGCGGATGATAAATTTGGTATCGGCACTGGTAGAAGGTGAAAAAGAAGAAAGAGAAACTGAGGGCAGATGGGTCTGTCATCTGTCGTATAATCCCAGGAAGTACCATAACTCTGCGGTTAGGTAATTTATTCAGTGCAGCTCCCTGAGATACCTCAAGGAATAGTGAGCTGTCAAAGAAAAGCCTTGGAGTAAGACAGTGACATAACTTCAGATAGAAACGTAGCATCGCATCAATCAATAATGCAGCGTCATCCTCCTGTTTCACATGCTAGCAGGGAATGATCTGGACTCAAGCTTAGCAAGTCCACCTGAATTATCCCATTCAAATGCATTCAGCAGTAATGCGTCTGATGAGCTTTTTCAGCGTAGTTCTGTGCAGCCGTACAAAAGCAACCTCTTCCCTCGGGCGTGCTTAGAGTAGCCTGGATTAATTTTACATCAGGCTGCCAAGAAGACATCCTCACGTAAGACTGGTAAACAACGAGAATTTGTTTTCATCTCGACAGATGGAGGACGGCAGCAACAGAAGAGCACGGCTGCACCTCAGGGGTTGAGATCTTAGACCTCATTAAAAATAATTTTGAACGGAATAAATTTGATCCAATTTGAAAGATGAAAGGGAACATCCACCCTTAGTTACGAGCCACTACCAGCAGAGTAAGTCGTTCTCGTGATCTTGCTCAGGTTTTTGATCTACGAATACGAGACTCAATCAAGCTATTGACAAAATAATCTAAATCCTCAATATTCCCAGGGAAAGTCCCTTAACCGGGAGAAAAGACCTGAAAAGGAATTTCACAGATAAAACTGATGCAGGTAAAGTTTATATGATTGTGAAGCTTTTGCCGGGATATTCAAATGTTTCACTGTCAGCACATGAAAATCCACTAACGTGGTGCCTTCGCTGACCTCAGTGTGCATCAGTCATATAAACGCTCCTCGGCTGATTTTGGCAGATGTTGGAGTTCAAAACTCTCATAATTTTATTGTAAGTGCAGCACATCTGGGCTTCTGATCTATGTGCTCACAAAATACGTTACAAGGAACATGTAGATAAGATGAATCTGAGTCAGTTTTATACAGAGGCAGGTTATAAAACGGAAACGCAGAAGTCATTGAACCCTGTTAAAGGACCCTGTCTCTATGAGAGGAGACATTTCACAAGAGCAATGCATTATAAAAGTCATAGTTTAATGTTGCAGTCAGTTACACATTATGAAGTTATGTTGGTTAAAAGTTGCTGTTTCTGCCTGACCTTGCCGTTAGAGATTTCACGTGTTCTGACAAATCTGTTCTTCACGTTCTCTTTTCTGAAAGGCACGAGGCCAGAGTTTAAATGCTTCTTTCAAGGATGGATGAAAATGTGACAGTAATGCAGAGTCCTTGGTGTTTGTAGGATAATGAACAAATACAACATAATAAGATGTGCCTTTAGAAATGCGGTGATCTTGGACATGCAAAATGGCCTTTTCATTCTTTCAATCAAAATGTGACAAATCCGTTCCCAGCACTATATGTTGATGTGAAAAAGAGAGGAATCTACTGTAAAAATCTAATTACAGGACAGGAATTAAAGAGTAAGGAGCGCCCAGACACTGCAAATCAAACGCACTCGATTAATGGATCATCATCCGTCTGAACACCTCTATAAAAGGTTTTTGCAGTTTGCAGGATTGTTGTGTGTTAATGCAATGTCACAATCTTCCCAGAAGTGGAAATCCCAGTAAATTCACCCCAAGGTCAGACCACGGAAAACCCAAGAGCTCCATCTCAGACTCTGCAGGCCTCAGTTTGCAGGTTAAATGTTAAAATTCACGACAGCACAATTAGAAAACGACTAAACAACTATGGAAGGACTGCCAAAGTGCAGAAACCAAACACCTCATACCAACCGTCAGTACGGTGGTGGAGCCATGATCGTTTGGGCAGTCACTGAGTGGACATAAGCTGCTGTCACAGGTGAGGCCATCTGTCCCACAGCTCAAGCTTGGACCAAACTGGGTCATCAACAGGACAATGATCCCAAGCACAGCAGCAAATCTCAAACAGGGCGAATAAGAAAGAACCAAGTTGCTGCAATGGTCCAGTCAAGGTCTAGCCCTCAACCTGACTAAAACGCCAGGGTGGGACCTTTAGAGCGCTGTGCATAAATGAATCCTCAGCGAACTGAGCCAACGTTGTAAAGAGAAGTGGGCCAACATTAACACACAACAGCATTAGAGACTGATAAAGTCATACAAGGACTCATTCCTTCAAGTTATCGCAGGTTGTTCTACAAGCTATTCAATCAGAGTGTGTACTTAGTACTTCACTGTATTGCATAGAGTCCTGTGAAACGGTCTTTTTCCCATAACAATACCTCCAAAAAACCATCAAACAAACTAATATTACACAAGGGAAGTCTGTGCTTCAGCACTCCTTCAGTCTTCAAGTCAGGTGTCCTTGGGCAAGATACTGAATGCCAAAATTTCCCCTGATGCATCATTTGGTGTGTGAATGTGATGCAGAGAGGTCTGAGTGGGCAGCAAGGTAAAAATGTCTGGATTATTTCTACCTCGTGTAGACAGCAGCTTCTGTATAGTGCCAGGAAGTACCACACAGAGATCATTTGTACGGTGCAGCTTATACAACTATTTAATTGCTCTGCAGGTTATTACTCTTAATTTCAAGGTGCAATGTTTTGAGAGGCCAGTAACACTAAGTACAGTCTAATTACCATTTTCCAAACATTCAGTCAGTGCAACAGGCAGCTATCAGCTTCCAACATCTGCTGGTGCTCTGCTCACTCACACTGAAGATTTAGTTCTGTGGACTGAGGCATTAATGACGGTTAAGGGTCCAGCTGTCCTTTATTCATATCAAGGTATCAGAATTAAGTTTATGGAAATGTTTTGGGAATTTATAGAGTTGTTAATACGCTGATATGAGACTGTCCCATTCCCTCACTCTCTCCCGTTCCACAGTAGCTCATAAAAACTCTCCTTCATTTTATGGGGTTACAGCGGGAGTGAAAGTGCATGGGCTTTATGAGGCGTAGCAATGGCTGGCAAGAGGACTGAGATATGCTTATTTGTTTGTTTCCTATTTCACAAGACAGGCTGCAGATAAGTTTGAAATATGACATCACACTGCACTGTTCAGCTGCTCGTTGAAAACCAGGAGGTTTGGAGGACAGTCGCAATTATCAATATATTATGAAAAAGAGCAAACTCATAATTCACAGGCTCAAAAATATATTTTTACCTGTATAACTTGATAAGCATTCATTTTTTTGGCACACGTGGAAATGAGGACCAGGCCAAAAAATTTTATTTGTAAAAAAGCGTTCCACTAAAGTTGAGTTTTAACCGACATTGTCCCGACATGTTTAAAGGAAGGAGCCTGTAATTAGAACATGCAGCGCTGAGGCATAAAAGCAAACCTTTCCTCTGATTAAGTTAAACACATTGGAATAGAGCGCGGAGACGTTTGACCTCGGTGACCGATTGCACAGAATTGGTTTTTAATCTTTGGCTACAATGCCCAACAGAAGCAGAGAGGGAGGGTGCATCTGGAGATCACCTTCCAAGGTCTCCTTCCCGGCCTTACGCCTCACGGCACACTCCTCGGGGCTTTGACGGATGACACCAGCGCCGGCGAGTGATAGGCTATTATTTCACTTTGCTTTGGATAAATGGCAATGCGGGATCCTACCTGTCGCCTGCCCTTCTCTTTCTTTTGTCTTGTTCTCTTGTCCCATCTTTACAGCGGTATGCCACCGCAGACGGGAATAGAAGGTGAAAACTAAGAGTGCTGAGATTTTATCAGAGCAATTTGTGGATTTCTCCTCCACATTTCAGCTCTGCTGCTTTTTGACTTTTTGTTTTTTTCCTCCCTGCAGCCAAAGTGGGTTTGGAGAGTGAGAATAAGCTGGATAACGACCAACTTGTGTGTTATTTGGCTTTTTTCTCCCCCATCATTAAGTGTGAAATGCGTTTCTTTTTTGGGAAGCTGCTTTTTTTACCCTTATTCTGATGAAATTGTCTCTGCTTATTGCTTTCAGACCAACAGTATTCATGGTCCCCCTCGCAGTACTTCGATGAGGACAGCTACTCCCCTCCACCCAGGAACATGAAGGGTCTCTCCGGCGGCCGCCCTGCCCACCTCCAGCTCACCTCCCCCACCTCTGCCCACACCTGCGGCCTGGCTGATTGTGACCATTCCCTGGACCACCTGCACCACCATGTTGACTCACGGCCTCCTTCCTATCTCCTCAGCCCCACTGAGAGCTGCCCCCTTGACGGTCATCACCGCTGCTCCCCACGGAGCTCCATCCACTCTGAGTGCATGGTGATGCCGATGTCCATGTCGGCCACTGACCACTCTATCTCCAGTAGCACTTTCCCCCGCATGCACTACGGCAGCGCTTCGCGGGACAGTGGCGGGAACGCCTCGGGTGGCAGGGAATCTCGAGACAACGGCGGCTCATCCTCGCACGGCGGCAGTGGCAAAATGAACCGAATCCCAGCAAACCTCCTGGACCAATTTGAAAAACAGATGCCACTGCACCGGGACGGCTTCCACACGCTGCAGTACCAGCGCACCTCCACCACGACCACGACTACAGAGCAGCGCAACGAAAGCCCCGGGCGAATACGCCACTTAGTCCACTCAGTACAGAAGCTTTTCACAAAGTCACACTCCCTGGAGGGCTCCTCCAAGATGAACGGCACCAAAGGTGACTCGCACAGGGAAAGCTCGCACCACCACCATCACCACCACCAAGGCCACCACAAACACAGCAAACGCAGCAAGAGCAAAGAGCGCAAGTCCGACAGCAGCAAGCAGCGCTCGGGAGGTTGGTGGAGTTCGGATGACAACCTTGACAGCGACAGCACATACAGAACGCCGAGCGTCATGTCACGGCATCCTGTCGACCACATCAGCCACTGTTACCCCGAGTCTGTGCACGGCCACATGGTGGGAGATCTGTCGCTAAAGACCTCCAAAAGCAACAACGACGTGAAGTGCTCAGCCTGCGAAAGTATAGCCATGGCGCCAGAGGGCAAGTTCATGAAGAGAAGCTCCTGGTCAACGCTGACAGTTAGCCAGGCCAAGGAGGCCTACAGGAAGTCCTCACTCAACTTGGAAAAGCCAATGATGCCCACAGATCTCAAGCCCAACCTCAGGCCCTGCCACTATCTACAGGTGAGTTTGGCTTTGGTCAGGTTTAAGAACAGGGACTAGTCAGCAGACGCAAAAACGAGTAATTTTTCAGAACTCCTGACATCATCGCATTATTCTGCATCTTCAGTGAGCGCAGTAGTATAGTTGTAGTTACACTGGTGCACTGAGCTGCACTGCACCATTATGACTCCCCAACATCCCGGCTGGGATACAAGCGGGGGCCATCAGATTTCGACCAAACAAAATCAAACCTGCATGCCACCAAACAGAGTTTATTTTTAAATTAAATGCTCTGATTTGTATGTTGATGCAACAGAAGGAGCGATGATAGCGTTCGTTTTCTGTCACTGCAGTGCTTTGAGTGTCGTTTTATAGCGTTTTCAAGAACTTTAGCCTTTGTAGAAAAGACGAGCAAGCCTGCACTCACAGGAGAAGAAAAGCTGCTCGTCTCAGTTGGCTTTAAAAGCTGATCTGAAAGACAGTGTTTTGTTTGTCACTGCCCTGGATATTACATTGTGAACCTGTCCTATGGCTCAGCATGTGGCTGGCAATAGAAAGGACTAGCACAGCAGGACAAATCAATTAACTCTGTAAATGATCTGTGCTGGAGGGGAAGAGCTGGCAGTATGAGAATAAAAGGCCAGAAATCAATCTGGATTTTTTTTACTGTGTTGTTTTCTCTGATTTCACAGGATTCAGTCTGGAAAAGTTTAGCATTTAGCTCAGACCCATGATCGGCTCTGCAGGAGACCTTATAGCACAGAAGGGATCAATTCAGTGAGTCAGCACTTTTCACAAAAGGTTCTCATGGGTTTATAAGCATGCTGCAGGGTATATGGAATAAGAAAGTACACTTTCAATCCCAAATTGCAAATTCAAGCCAGAAAAACGACATTATGTAACCGTGCTGCTGCAAATATAACAATGTGAAATGTGATTGCATCATGTAAGTACTGCCTGTAGCCAAAATAAAGCGATCGTTCAGCGCAAAGAAAAAGAGCAGACTTGGAGACTCGTTGCTCTAAGCAGAGAGCGTGTCGTATGATTGCCTAATGTTGTAAATGAAAAGCCGACACGTCACTGAAATCAGCTTCAGCTGATATCATCGGACAGTTTTACGATGAGTTTTTCAGCACAGAATCAGGCAGACGGTGCATCATCCACTCCAGTTTTTTTGCATATCCAATAAGGAAAGTAATCTCTTAAAGAGAGAGTTGCAGTGCTGGCACCCCCACCTGTTCCCGTCTTCTGTTTGGTCATTCAGCTGAGGTAGTGTCCGAGTCACAGCACTATAAACACTTCTAAAAATATCCTGCCGCAGGGCTATATTTAGACCGGCGTTATCAATCCGATCCGTACAGGGCGTGACACATCTTCCCTCCCCAGAGGAAAATCAATGCGCTCTCAGGGAACGCTCGGAGACAACGTATTGAAGGAGAGGGAGAGAGAAAGTTGGAGATGCGTATATATGGCTGAGGTTTATGGCTCTGTGGATGTGCTGAGATACTTTAGGAAACAGAAGAGAGGAAACAAAGCAATGCTCCCCGTGGCTGCTGTTGTTGCTCATCAACAGGAGCAGTCAGGCAGAGAGATGGAGCCAATAGTCAGGAATGATACTCTACACACACTGAGGGGTCACATTGAGAAGTACTCGGGTCCTGCTGCTGCTGAATTGGGATTACCCACAACTGTCTGCTCTGCAGCAGCAGCATAAAGCCTATCCAGGGAGAGTGTGTGTGCCGAACCTGTCAGTGTGTGAGTGGCAGTGTTTGTGAAAAAGTGTGTTTTTTTCTGTTTATCACACACCAGATGGTTTGATGAGGTGCTAGTCACCTTGTTGCCGTCCTTGGGTGATGACGGAGAGAGTGAGAAACTTTGAAAGTTTGGTAGAACTATAGACACAGACTTTTATCATAGACTTATTAAAGTAATCTAACTTTGCAACTTTGTAACAAATCAATCCCATAAATCCTACTGCAGGTAATAAAGTTAAATGTTAATGTTTGTACACGTGGCAGGTCTGTGCGAGTCTTTGTGCGTGGAAGCAGGATGAACTGGACATTAGGGAAGACAGACGGGTTCATATAGAAGATTTTTCTCTAAAATGATAAGTGGTGGGGAATCAGACCTGGCATTAGCATCTCTTCCTGTCATCTCTCAAATTAGCCCTAATTAGCCCGCTCTGAGATCTGTACACACTAATAGCCACTGAACCATCTACTGTAATGCACGTGTAGGTGTGTGGGCCAGCCTTTGTCCGTCGTTGCAGTGTGCAGCAGACGCTGTAATCCATGTTCAAAATGTATCAGCATGTTATGCTAAAACACACTTTTAATTAATTTTGCAACACTTTGTTGGTTTTGTTATTGTTTTCCATGAATGGTCGGATGCTGCATCGCTGTGAATTATGGCCAGGAATGATCTCCTTCCTTTCACGAAGGATGTATTCTCAGTGTATCCTCCACTAAAGGAGGTCATAAAGGAAGAACTGAAGACCCTTTCCTAACGATTTAGAGAATTCAAACAGCTCTTAATATGTCAGCTACACAGATTCCTCCAGATCACTTTGGTTTGGAGCCTTTCTAAGTAAAACCGTCTATTAAACTGCACCCAATAACTCTGCGTTACTGACAACTCTCAGCCCAGATTAAGTGAGCTTTTCTAGCAAATAGAGTTCCTTCCTCTTCCTTCGTACAGTAGCGTTGTACAAAGGAAGGATTAGTCTTTGATAGTTTTGCTGATAGGGCATTGCGGTGGGATTTAATAAGCCAATTAACTGCCATGTTGGCTTGCCAAAGGTGGGGCTTGAGAGGCAGAAAGGCTGCTGATTAAAATACAAAAGCAAAGTGCAAAGCAGCAGAAACAAAACTGGCACTGTGATGGAAAGCTGTAGTAACGCACACCCACACACACTCGGGGGTTTCCTAGCATTTTTATGAAGGAGTTCCCAGATAGCAATCGGGCCACGAACCCTTACGTAGAGGGATCTCGTCCCAGAAACCCGAAGATCAGACGACTGTCTGTCTCTGTTTGCCGGAGGCGACGATGTGGATTATCACTGTGACAGCGTGCATCTTATTGCAGTCGTGTTATTATGTCAAACCTCAAGTTTCTTTTGATTTTAATGTGATTGTTTCAGGGTATAAACATTAAATAGTCACTTGTTAAGCTGCAATCTGCAAAATGCCTTTTTCTGATCCAGTAGCCAGGCTAAATCAATAATAATAGCCAGCTATGATGCCATCCTAATTCTTGGGAGGTTTAATAGCCATATTTTCTGCCTTACAGGCATTTCCTGCCAAGACTTCTTCACTGTTTAAGTGTATTATTACCATGTGGTGCAAAATACCCCAGCACTCCATATGCAGTGTCTAACAGTCTGTTTGGAGAAGTTTCGTCGCAAGCAAGAATTCTCCGATAAACCAGTTGTGCAGTAATAAAAAAGTAATATTGTTCATTTTACATGAACATGAACACATGAGTACATTCAGCATTCAGCACAGGTGTTACCACAGGGGACAAACGTGGAAGCAAAATCACAGACTGCACAGAGTTCTGATGAATAAGAAGGAGAGAAGAATATGTATTTGTAATGCTGGGGTAGGTGAAGGATGAAAAGCGTAGGTAGGTTTCCCCCTCACAACAGAAGAGAACCTCATGCCGTCTCTTTTATCTGTCATCAAAATACTCAAAAGGAAAATCTGTCCTTGTGTGTACTTTCTGTAAGAAGTTCTTCCTTTTGTTGCTCTGAAAGGTTTTTTGTTTGTTTGAGACACCTCTTAGCAACAGAACAAGGGTGAATAGTTGAAAAAGTCTTGGTTGAATGTCTTTCTTCTGTTTTTAGTGCAGAAATTTTGGGCAGTCTCATTCACATCAAGTTATCATCACAAACATGCTGCGGCCCTCAAGACTTCAGAGATTTTAATGTCAGTCCACAGCTTTGCTTCACAGTGAAATATCTCAACGTTTACTCAAATGATTGCTGCAAACTTTGTGCATTTATTCATAAAGCACAAAACCTTAAACCGAAAGCCAGCAGCTTCATGAAAGCATGCTAAAAGGTGGAACGAGCTGCTGAATATCAGTTAAAAATCAGTAGTGTTGATGTGGCAGATGTGCTCATGCTAGAGTGCTACACAATTATTGCAACCATGTAAACTTGCAGTCTTGTTAGCTTTGAAGACGGGGACTGTCTGTGATCAGTTGGTTACCATCTAACAATTTAATTGTTGCAATATGTTTGTGATAATGTAACTATAGTAAGATTCCAAAAATTGCAACTGTGTTGCCGTTTATCTACACAGAAAATCACATCAGTTACTTTTATTCCACAAATCCTGATCCTGCAGAACCCAAAAACTGCAAAATGACCCAGGCATTCAGCAAGCTTGTTTATAGAAATATAACCAGAATAAACAGTAATTATTTGCAGACCTTATCTAATCTGCTGAGAATGACTGCAGGCAAACAACAGTTGCTGCAACTTCTTGCAATCAGTCTCCAACAGCAGAAATAAAAACCCCTCAGCAATCACAGATTTGTTTCTAGCTGCAAGGAGACTGACATCTTCTTTTTATTCTACAGCGACTGAGCCATTCCATTCTACAGCGACTGAGCTGTTGCTCGTTAACCATCTCAAGTTCAGGAGCGCGCTCCGTTGAGTAAATGCCCCGGTGAGCGTTTTTTTTTTATAAAGTTACCATTTAGCTCACAGTTCAGGTTCATAGAGCTGCCAGCACGTCTGCAGATTAGAACCCTCCTGTTAAGCTCTTGGAATCATTCGTTGCCCCTGTGAGCTCTGCTGATGCTCATACAGCAGCTTTAGTGTTTGAATCACTCTGAGAAGTGCTGTTGGTATTCATGAGATTGATTCTGTTACAGCCAAAATGACAAATTTATTCTCTTCATCTTCCCGGGGCATGACTGCTGTCGTTTTGTTACCGAGCACGATTATTTACACTTTTACGACTTTGTCTGAAAATGTAAAGCGGCAGTAAACAAACAAACAACATGAGCTGAGA